AATGATCGTGTTTTAGTTAGAAGACATGGATTAAAAAATAAATTAGACCCAAAATTTTCAATTACACCACAACTTATTATTCGTGCACAACATCCTGTTTACGTTGTTCGCGATGAAATAACTCAAGTTGAAACACGAGTACATATAAATGATATTAGACCCATTTATATTTCAAAATTAAATTAAACAAAAAAAGTAAAATAAAAAAAACAAAAAAAAAATAATAATAATAATAAATAGTAAAAGAAAAACAACAAGACAAAAATCAACAACAACACATTCATTAATATTACATTAAATATTTTTTATCATTTTTATTATTTATTGATTGATAAATATTTATTATTAATGCTGGAAGTGAAATAGTTAATGATGTTGATGTTAGACCAAATTAAACGTATGCGCAACGATTAATATGGAATAACATTTATCATCTATGAATTGGATTAATTGATATTTTAATATGCGCGCATTAAAAAATCAATTTTACTATAAATTCCAAATGGACAATTAATAATGACAATATTTACAATTATAAAAAACAAATGATGATAAAAGGATGAATCATTGATGGAAACTTTTTCTAAAGGAATGTTTCCGAATAAAGCAATCTGAATAATTGTTAATTCGTCTTTATATTAATGACACCTGTGATCAATATTACGTAACAAGTGAATTTTGTTTAAATGGATGACCAATGGCTATTGGTCAATATCGTCTTCGAATGAATATCCTTTATTTTATTTATTATCTACTGATTTTATTCTATGATCCGTTGAATCGAGTCGTCTAACAATTGTTATACAATGTTTATTTATTTATTTATTTATCTATTTTTATTATTGTTTATCTATTTAGAATTAAATCTTCTTTTTCATCATTTACTCTAATAGTAATACACATTGTTATTTAATTATCTACGTCCAGTTGCTGTTACTGAACCATCACCAATCCATTTCAATCGATTTACCCTTCTGGTTGAAATTCCATTTTTAATTATCTTGATTAAACTTTATTTATTGGACAAACTTTTCTCTTTGTTATTTGTTCGAACGTGAACCTTATTTTATTATTTACTTGAATTAATTCATATTTGAATTCATTGATTGTTCAACTCCTTGAATTATCATCATCATCATCAACTGGTTACTTACTTGTATTACTAACACATTATTTATTTATTCTCGATTTAGTTCTACATTTACTTAAATTAAAACACTTATATACAAGTCATTATGAACATGGATATTCTGAACCAAAGATTGAATCAAATCTATCCTGCATTTGTTATACCAGAAACAAGTTATGAAGTTATACTCATCAATCGATACATGTCAATGGAAGTTATGGACAAAGTGTTAAATCACATTAATGATTGTTATCAATATTCAGTAGATACTGAAAGTGAAATATCAAACAACGAATTATCCATTATACAATTTCATACGATTCCCCGTACATTACCATCACAAGTACTTATTATCGAATTATCACATCTGCCAAATCGAGAATCTCACTTGTATGTAAAAATTAAAGAAATTTTTAGATTGATTTTTAGATCACATAATGAAATATACTCATGGGAGAACATGAACCTCGAACTTGAATCAGCAAATTATTTATTTGCATGGCCAATAACATCAGAATTAATTAACCTCCAGCCGCACTTTCCTGGTTGGTATGAGAGGGCTCGGACTCAATGTAGGGTCCAGAGCCTGGAACAACAGGCGATGGAAAATAATGATATTACTGTTGGTCGACGAAATTTGTCAACATCGTCATGTACATGTCATCGTCCAAGTCCATACAATGAAAATCAGCTCTGGTCATTACAAAAGGCATTTTTATATAGTTTTAATCTATTTATAGATAAAACATACACCTTGTCGCATTGGTCATATGGCCTAACTTCAGTTGGTTCATCATTAACACATGCACAGCGTACAAAAATGATAAATTATGCTAAATCTGACGTGATGGCGGTGACCTATCTCATCAGGCCAATTACTGAACAATGGTCGTTTGCAAGAACAAAAGAATCAAGCATTGAAGAAATGTTTATTACATTTCAATCAACACGACCACCACCATTACATCAACCAAAATCGAAAAAGAAGATAAAAAACATTAATGTTCAAAAATTGTCGAAAATATTTTCATCAATTAAGGATTCTGATTATGAATTAATATCATCAGATGAAGAAATTTATTTAAATCAATTGATAGAACCAGTTGTAAACGTCCATCCTCCTGAAGATCAAATTAATAATGATGATATTGTACAAGATGCTATTCGAGATTTAGATGATGATGTTGAATTACAAATTGAAGTACCAACAACTGATGTTATAGTGAATGATCATAATGATGCTGAAGCGATGAGTGTTAACGAGGAGATTAATCCACCTGAACATCAACAACAACGAGTTAAGAAAAAAAGATCACTTGAAGCTAAACAAAAGAAAAATCGAAACAGGAACGTGCAATTACGATCAACTCGATTTAAAAATTATTTCACCCGACCATATTATTATAAATTCAAATCAAAAACCATCAAAAAAGTTCTTCATCATTATGGTGTACAATTTCGACACACCAAATTTTCATATGATCAAGTGGTTATTGGTGTTAAAACTGATAAAGCCCGACGTGAATATGAAGAAACATTGCCATATAGCTGTTTCAATAAGAAGAATTATGAATCATTTAAAAGATTTTCTTTGTGTGTTAAACAGTTAATTTTTTTCTCTCTTTCTCCTTTCGGCTCATATGTCTTTTGTTATTTTTTCTTGCCAAATGTGATCAGATGTTTTCTATTTTTTCTCTTATTGTTATTTTTTTTCTCTCTCGCCTAAAAAGCGTTTTGTGTACAAAACACTTTTTCTTCAAGGGGAAGGGTGTTATGATATGTTGTTGGTCATGACATCTATTCTTATCTTTATTTCTTTTTCACTTCGTTCTAGTCTTTGTTTTTTTTCCTTTCACATATATACATTCTTTTTGTTGAATAAACAGGCAGTCATTTATGCTTCAACATAAAATGAACTCGCACGTCCTTAATATTAAGTGTAAATAAAAGCATAACAATGAGAAAAAGAATTTTTTCTGCCTTCGCCATGCCACATTTTATATAGTTATTTTCCATATGGTTTTTCTTTACCGACAAACAGCAGAGATATATAGAACATGTTTACTGTTCTGGTATAAGATGTGTGTTTTCATTATCAAAATGGGATGATGAGACCACCCTTATACTGAGTAGAGAAAAATCTCTTCTCGATCATTTATATGCCTATTGGTCCAGATTCACCATACATCTCGCACAATCACCTGATGCATTATGTTTTCAACAATCATGGCGAGCTTATAATATCATAAAATCCTCTGATCAAAGATGGTACAGAAGCATGGGACTGAATAAAAGGAATCGTTTCCTAGCTAGGTTACAACAAAATGCTAAACATTCCTTAAACGACTGGAACAATTTTGAACAGATTCACAAACAACAAATAAACCATTTCGAAAGAAATACTAAACAACTCAATTTGTTTATTTACAAATACTTTTTGTGTTCCATTCAAAACTGATTTATCCTTTAGCAGAATCCTTTCTATTCCCTTCTATTGGGAGGTGTGAATTGTATTTTTGGAAACAAACCAACTGTCTTTTTTATTGTTTTCTCTCTTCTTTTCTTTTCTTATATTTTTTATTAATGTGAACCACTAATGGCACAAATAAATCGTTATATGGAAAAAAAAAAAACTTCGATTTTCTTGTTAACAGTGGAAATTCGACTTTTTCTCATGCTGTTTGTAACTTCATAGAGCCTTGTATAGCTGGTTTGATCTATATCTGACTTCTATAATGCGTGAGGTCTTCAACATTGTATTTGATCTATAGTAATGCATATATTTATTTATTTATAAAAATTACAAAAAAAAAACAAAAAAGATATAAATATTCACTTGTAGTGCATAAGTGAAAAACAAAATTATAGAAAATTTTTTTTTGTGAGTTTAACCGACTGAATGATCTAAATAAAAAACAATAAGTGCAATCAAGAAAACATTTACATTAAATACCTCATTGATATGAGCTGAAATAAAAATAAATAAATAATTGCAATTAAAAAACTATTCACTTCGATGTAATTCAACCGTAAAAAGTGATCTAAAATGAAGAAATAAGTATAATTTAAATAAAAAAGAAACCTATTTCTAAATTAAATTGTTACGTATTATTTTAATCGTAAATAAATAACTCTAATAGCGTTGATTTTATTTTAATGAAAACAAAAGAGTAATTCACTTTATGATACTATAACTAAAAGAGTGCTAACAGATTAAATGATTTTGTTCTAAAATAAAATAAACACAATAATTTTATTAGATTAAATTTATTTTAATATAATAAAATAAAAGAAATATAGTTTCATTCAATTCATTTCATTTTATATTTGTTCTAAATATATGATCCTTTTAGATTAATTTTAATCAACTGAACTAAATTATAATATTTATAATAAGTGGAATTGGTTTTATTTCACATCATTTAAACTAGATTTTAAAAAACAAAGCTTATATCATTAATTCGAGTTAAAATAAATCAAAAAAAATTCAGAATAAGAATTGACAAAATACAAAAACAGATAATTAAGTTTAATAAGATTGTTTAATGTGTAAAGCATAGAACTGAATTAATTTAGTATTATAAATGAATATAAAAGCATTTTTACTTCTATTCTGAAAAATAATACAATATACATTCTTCTTAAACCAATTAAAACTTAAAATCAATTGATAACGGTTCATCCTTCTTCATATAGTCTATTGTCACCATGATTGGATTACGAGTCCTCTACGTTGGAGAGTTATCGATAGGATGTGCTATACAAAAATATCTTTTTTTAATTCGAGACAACGTGATGTTTAAACTAGACTGTTTTCAATGTATTTAATATTTATTTAAAACGCATAAAACTATGATTATAAAGATTAATAGAATTAGAAAAATCTAAAAGTATGATCTAATATGTTCAAGTCCTATTTTGATTATTTTCTTCTTATTAAAATCATCGAATTTCCAATTAATAGAAATTAATTTCAGTTTCAATTTTATTTTATTTTATTTGAAAAAACTAACTACATATGGAAAAAGAACAAAAAACTAATTAAATATGGAAGAAAAAACAAAAAACTAACTAAATATGAAAAAGACCAAAAACCTAACTACATATAGAAAAAAGACTAACTAAAGAATAAAATTGGTTGATGTTGATGAAGAATGATAGTAATGCTTGATATTTATCGTTGATTTTTATTGTTGGACTGTATGCCACAAAAAAAAGTATTGGATTGATTCAATACCAGATGATTCTGAAAACGATGTTGTCGAAGAGAGATACGCTTATAATGTAATAAATATCAGAACACTGTCTCAAAGAATTATTATTAAAGTATACTTTTCATAGAAGATACCTGGTTTATTTTTGTCAAGACTGCATTCAAATATTCTTCTCACTTTGAGGAAATAGTATGGGATCATTTACAAAGGTCGTCTAATATCCATTTCAAAGTTAAATGGATGTGGGCATTTTTCAGATAACTTTAAACTCAAAAAAGAGAAATAATTCAGTTTTTCAACACTATCTCGAGTCGACAGTACTGCATCTTTTTATAAAGTTCACGAAAAAATCCAGTTGCTTTTCTTCTGAGATATAGCATCAATTTTCAAGATGATCTTAATCTGCTATGAAAACCATATGCTTTCTAAACTATAATACAATGACTAGATAGTCTAGCTCTGTCTCTATCGATCAGCTCAAGCTCAAGATCGATAGCTATTTCCTTTGAAAAGATATAAAAAATTTACTGAATGCTACTCATTAAATTTTTTCAAAATCTAAGCAGTTAACAAACAAATATCTTTTAGTACTACAAAATTTTTTAGCCATCTTCCATTTCGTGACATGATTCATTAACCTTTTGAGTTTGTTTTTCTATTAAGGACATCATTAGAATCGATGTATTCATTTTATTTTATGATAAGGAACTGATATATCAGAAAACTCTTTTCGACCTTTATTTTATGGATGCGTTTATCCCAAAAATGTTGTGAATTCGGATTCGTCGATCAAAAATAGATTCAAAGACTTTAACGCAAATTAATGATAAAAACTTATCCATCATCCGCATCATTTGTACTATAAGTACTATAATCATGATCATTGTAATTATGAAGTTTTTCTGCAACATTTTCGATACAAATGTTTGTTCTGATAAATTTTATCTCATATTATTTGATATCATTGATATAGCTAGTTGTTTCTCTGGCATTCTAGCCATATATTCATTGTTGTGTTACTTTGCTCACTTCAGTCAAAGTACACACTGTGTTTCTATCACGAACACGGATTTTCATCTTAGCTCAGGCTAATTCAATAGAATTCAGTATGCAATGTCTCATTGGTAAACATGAAGAAAAAGATATGAGAAAAGAAGAGATATGAATAGATTGCGTTTACTGTAACAAATTAACTCGATATTTTTTTATTTCTTCGTCCAACTTATTTCTTTTTTCTGGAAATTTTCAAAAGCCAACTTTAATAACTCTGCCATATCGCAGAAGAAAAGCAACTGGATTTTTTCGTGAACTTTATAAAAAGATGCAGTAATGTCGGCTCGAGACAGTGTTGAAAAACTGAGTTATTTCTCTTTTTTAGGTTTAAAATTATTCAAAAAATGCCCACATCCATTTAACTCTGAAATGGACATTAGTTTGTTTTGTCTATTTGTTCTACTGACAATGTTAATCCAAATGTGCAATCGATGGACTGATGTGATTAGTATTGAGTGGAGCAGAATAAATGATACCTCAAAATTTTGGAAATATCTCTTTCAATTTCCATTGTCATCCTATATCGAATAATCCAAAGAGTTTAGATCGAGACTATATGACGGCCTAGATCTTTATCAATGAATGATGCAAGATTGTCCTGACACCAGTAGTACGTGAAATGGTGAATGTGTGGTTTTGCAGCATCTTGTTGAGAAATCTAATAGTTTCCGCAGACCTTGTTGCCATATTTCAGTGTCACAGGAAGCATCTCCTGTATATATCGAACATGGTTTATTGAGCCGTCTTCAAAGATAATTAATGATGAGACTTTTTTGGAACCCATTTCTAAGCAAACAATAATATTTTGGGGATATTTTCGTATCTGCATCATGGCTTCTTTCTCGTCCGCTGTAGCACGATTCACTGTCCATACCAGATTGTTATGGATCTTAGAAGCGCCGTAAATGTCGAATATTTTCTTATCGAAAAAAATAATTTCATTGTCTCTACTATCGAAAATTTGTTCGAATACCGTTAGCAAACTTTCTTCGTTTGTCGTTGTGCTCGTCAGTGCCTACTGGTTCGGATATTTTTTGCAGAGACGAAGATCCATATCACTTTTGAGTATTTTCTGCATACTTGTTCTCGAAATACTCAATTCACTCGTCGATTTTCGAGTTGATATTGGTTTCTTTCGCTGCAATAGGTGTTAGACTTTCTCAATTGTTCTCTTTGTTCGAAAAATATGTAGATAGCCTGGCCGACTCGAAAATAGTATAGATTCAGTGTCGCAGATCATTTTGTACCATCGT